GTAATAGACGCTGATTTGTCGTACCATGGCGATGCACAAGTCAAGCTATCCGTCAAAAATGTAAAACTGGGAATTTCCAACTTCCAACTTTACGGGCCACTTAGAATTATTCTTAAACCACTTTTGTCAGATGGAATCGTGGTCGGCGGAATAACTGTCTTTTTTCTCAAGAGACCAAAGATTTCTTTCAATTTGACAAATTTGCTAAATGTTTTAGATATTCCAGGATTGAAGAAAACTCTACGCGGTATCGTTGATGACGTCATCGCCAACTTTGTTGTTTTGCCCAATAGAATTGCGATTCCTCTGGCGGAAAGTGTGGACGCCGGAGACCTGAAGTATCCAATCCCCGAAGGACTTCTGCGCGTCCAGATTCTGGAAGCGCGGGAACTGGTGAAGTCCGATTTTTCGCTGATTGGAAAGGGATCTCCGGATCCTTACGCCGTTTTGGAAGTAGGAGCTCAAACATTTCGCACAGAAACCAAGAAAAACCAGTCTAATCCTAAATGGGACGAGACATTTGAGGCATTTGTAGACAATTCTAAAGGGCAGGAATTGGATATTTTTCTCTATGACCATGATCTAGCCTCAAAAGATTCCAAGATCGGCAACGTTGACATAAAAATCCGTTCTGTTGTGGAAGAGGGTATGCAGGACATCTGGCTGCCTTTGGAAAAAGCGAAACAGGGAAAAGTTCATCTACGGCTGGAGTGGTTTTCTCTCAGCAACGATCCACTTCATTTTAGATATACTAAAGAAAATGAAAGCGTGGCCGTGCTGATTGTGAAGCTGATCAAGGCACAGAATGTCCCAAGCCGAAAGAGTTCTGTGTTGGCCAGAAAAGTTTATTGTCGAGTGGCAGTGAGTAATAGAACGCTTACTAGCTTTTGTGCGCAGGCGCAAGGCGACGAGTTTAAATGGCAGCAATCACTCTTATTCGTACTAACCGATCCACACGAAGAAGTCCTTATTGAGGTAATGGAAGGTAGTCACTGCTTAGGTTTTATGGTATTCACTGTTCGTAAGCTCATAGAACAGCCCGACATGTCACTTAAGAATTCCTTCCAGCTGCGTAGTACTTCCGATGAAACCGGAACCGGAACTGTCGAATGCAAGCTATCCCTGCGTGCTTTGAAGGCAGCAGACACAATCGCTGAACCAAATTTCTTGCAGATTGGTCAAAAATTCAATGCTTGTTACGACGAAGAAGGTATTCTACAGCGCCAGGACACTCCGACTCTGATTTCGGAAGTAGCTGGTCAAGACTATCCTACGACTTCCAGTGACAGCAACGAATCAACTGAGAAGACTTCCACTTCCGGTTCCACTTCCAGTTCCCGTTCCAGTTGCGAGTCCTCTCCAAGCGGAAGCATAGCAGATGACAGATCAAACGAGCAAAGTACTGAAGGCTCAAGTCACGATTATTTATCCCGAGGGGAGGTGTCTTTGAAATTAATTTACGATCATCGACGAAACCGACTCATGGTTACAATTTTGAACGCCAAAAACCTTTCATCAACAGAGCCGGTTTCTAAAACGAACACCTATGTTCAAGTTAATCTGATACCTTCTCGCTCTAAGAAATCGATACGCAAGACTTTCTCCCATCCCGGCAGCCTTCATCCCGTTTTTAATGAGACCTTTGATTACGTTATCGGCCTTGATCAGCTGGCTGACAAAAAACTGCACGTGGCTGTCAAGAACGAGAAGATCGTGCAGTTGCCTGGGAAACGACGTGACGTTATTGGGGCTACCTCTATAAACCTTTGTGAATTGGATTTGTCTGCTGGTGTAACTATGAACTGCGAGATAACTAATTGAAAGCTTTTGCCAGAGGGCAACCTCTCGTCTCCAGGGCTTTTTGGCCAGAGAGGAGAAATTAATTAGTTAAAGAATACCAAATGTGGTAAACTGACAAAGAAGGCGCGCTTACAATGCGGCCACTCAGGAAACTGGGGCACTGGAAAAAAGATTCTCCAATGACAGCAATTTCTAAAAACAAAAGATTTTCGAGTTCTTTTGCAAACGGGACAATAAAATTCAAGTATAATTATTTATGTAACAGTGGAAAACTTTAAACCGTTTAACTTACCTAACCTCTCAGGAAACAGCCCTCAAATTTATGAATGTTATCAGCCGGTTTGCAGAAAAAAAACTTGAGAATCTTTTGTTTTCAGAAAACGTTATGACTGGACAATCTTCTTCCAAGCGTCCCGGTTTGAGTATCCGCACTGTTAAGAGCTTTCAGCAAAGTCTAGCTAAGCTCGGTTAGAGATGAGACTGGAAAGAAGTTATCAAAGACTCCTCAGCGGAGCAAACCTCAAAATCATGATTACTACGTAAAAAAACATACGAAAAAACATGAAACATGGTTCTTCCGAAAGAGATATACTAATTGAAAGTGCCTGCTTGTGTATGAGTGATAATAGCTATAAAGCATTGAAATTGGGTAGAGAGGTCTCGACTCCTCTATCAGAAACACTTGTGAATTAAGGCAAAACCACAACGACAAACCAGTGAGGTTCAGCCGGATCTCTAGAGTAGACCTGGATCAGTAAACTCTTGAGACCAAGTTTTAAAATTAAAACAGTAAACTGATCCTTACGGCAGGAAGACTGATGGAAAAAATTAGAAAGAAAGCAAAAATATAATTTGGTGAATTGTATTTGTCTCCTCTATGCCTACTGTACCAAAAGTTGGTGGGTGCCTATATGTCAGACATGACTTTATGCTTAGAAACTACCAGTGAGTCATAAACGATAATATAGGTCGTTTTTACTGCGAACGTTGCCTTTTTTGTACCTTTTTGTTGCTAATAGTTTTATGTTCTCCTTGGCCTTTGCTTACTAAGCTGTGAAGTCTCTACTAAAACTCTCGAAAGTTTATTCTTCTGTTCCTACAATGAAACTAGGTTTTTGATGCAGGTCCACATCAGCCTTTCGCTGCCATTTTATGTAACTTAACCTGTTTTATCAAATAAATGTATGTATGTATGTATGTATGTATTATTTAGTTAATTTTTTCATCGAGTTTACGTTCAGTAATATCCTACTATGTAATCATGTATCCTCTTTTTTTCTCTTTTTCCTTCTGTATTTTAATTATCACTTGAATGTAAATGTGTTACAATAAAGCATTGATGAATTATAATAATAATAATAATAATAATAATAATAATAATAATAATAATAATAATTTTTTGATGTTTTAATTTTTATACCTGCTTCTGCTCTCGATGATGGAACCACTAAGCCATGAAAATAACTTTAATTTAGTCGTTGGGCGATTTAATGGAGTGTTCAGGTTATCAAGCTCTAGTTATAGCGGAGCTCTCGCGCGCGTATTCGTATCAAACATGGAGTAAACAAACTGAATTCTGCAAAGCTGATTGTACTACGTGAAAATTAAATTTGCAAGACATCCAAACAACACCTAAAGAGCCAAAAACAGAGCTGGGCCGTAGACAGCTGTTTTCGCCCTTTTGGGGGACTCGTCAGTAGGTCGCAACGAACAGAGAGGCTCTGCTGTAAAATTCCCGCACACTCTGTTTAAAAGCCCTGACTTTGAGCTCAATCACTTACAGAATCACGCCATATCACGTGTCTGCGAGAGGGCAGGAGTCCAAGTATCACGTTGGTGTCTTACAAAGAAAATATAGGATGGACAAAATCAACATGGACTTATCTTGAGTGTGTATGTGCGTGGTTTACTAATTTTTTTTCTCAGTCTTTTTGTTTTGTTTTGTTTTTTTTCTTCTGGAGCAATTTGATCCTTGCCTCTCATAGAATTTGGGTTGCCTGTGTTCCTTCCCGTGAAACGCCTGGTCGTTTTCATGTTTATCTTTCAACTTGCAGAGTCATGATGTTGCGATCAAGCTTGCTTTTGTGCGCTGCTGCTGTTTTTGCTCTTTGCTTTACGTCGTGCACATCAAAAGACGTTTATTCCGCTGCAGTCTACGAGCATGTTACATTCTTTGTCTTTGAAAACAGATCGTTTACTCGCCAAGAGGCCTTGGACATAATGAAGAAAAACTTAGTGGTTTTCGACGAGAAGGCGAAGGAAGCACAATCTCAAGGGGCTGACATAATCGTTTTTCCCGAAGATGGTCTCTATGGTTTTGACTTCACTCGCGAACACATCCTTCCTTTTCTGGAGATTATTCCGCTCCCTACCCAGCTACAGAAAAGCTGGAATCCGTGCCAAGATCCCAATCGCTTTGCAAACACCGAGGTCCTGAGGGAGTTGAGCTGCATCGCCCGTAACTCGTCTATTGTAGTGGTGGCTAACATGGGGGATGTTCAGTATTGTAAGAAATCGGATCCACACTGTCCCAAGGATGGCAGATACCAGTTTAACACTGATGTAGTGTTCGAGTCAGACGGGACATTGCTCGCCAAGTACCACAAACAGCATCTTTTTCATGAAAACCAGTTCAACACCCCATTGGAAGCAGAAATAGTTACTTTTGAGACTTCCTTCGGGGTTAAATTTGGGGTGTTCACTTGTTTTGATATGCTGTTTCATGATCCAGCAATCACACTTGTTGAGAAATATGGCATTCGCAATATTGTATTTCCAACAGCCTGGATGGATGGCTTCCCCATCTTGGCTTCTGTAGAATATCAACAGGCTTGGTCAAGATCAACATGTGTCAATCTGCTGGCAGCCAATCAGCATCAGCCCTTCGCAGATATGGTAGGAAGCGGAATTTATTCTTGTGGAGAACCTTTGTCTTATGTTTATGACATGAAGACGTATCAAGGCCATCTTTTGGTTGCCAGACTGCCAAATCTGGATCTGTCACATCCAGAGCAGTGTATTGAACCAACATGCCAATCAGCTAAAACCTCATTAAAATCTGTTGAAAGAAGCATCAAACAGCCAGCATTACCCTTGCAAACCAACAGTAAAACATTTTACTCTAAGTTACTAAATGACATTTACACTTTTGTGAAACTTGAGTCTTCTGAGGGCAATGTATCAGTTTGTTCGGACAATTTCTGCTGTCATGCAAGTTACTCCGTGGACAGTCAACAACCTTTCAAAGATGAATTGTTTGCATTAGGGGCTTTCAGTGGCCATCATAATCCAGAAAACTATTTTATCCAAGTTTGTGCCTTGGTAAAATGTTCCAGCATGCAGGAATATTCTTGTGGCTCACCTGTTTTTACTGCTACAACAATGTTCAACTCATTTACAGTGATGGGGCATTTTTCATCTCAGGCTCGTGTGTTCCCTGCAGTTCTTTCAAGCAATGTTGAGCTAATCTCGCCTAAAGTCTTTTCATGGTCTGGGCCTCAAATGTATGTGCCATCTTTCAAAAAACCCCTGGTGTCAGCTGTTTTGTTTGGGCGAATTTATGAACTAGACATTACTGAACAGTGAAAAAAAAAAAAACTCTTAGTATATCAGTAAATCATCACCACTATAAAGTTTTCAAGAAAGTGGATCTCTGCAGAAAGTAATTTCAAAGTTTTCCAGGCTCAAAAATGTATTTTTGCTTTGAGGGATGGAATTTTATATTATCACTTGAGCTTTTTTAGGTTCTCCCATACATTAAGAAGCATTGAGCCATGTCAGCACTATTCCTGGCTGTCCTGCAAAAGGTTTATTTCTTTCAGTATTTTTTTTACAAAATAGACCTATCCTTTACCAATTTCATTGTATGTTTTCATCAAATAAATGGAAAATAAGGGAAAGGACGGGGATGTGGTTCAATAGTGTTTGGCTATTATTTCTCTAAAACTAGGCTTCTTCAGTGTCTCCCTGAAAAAAATCATAATAGGTAATGGTAACAGGACTGAGTGGAGTCCAATTTGGTCTGTAATCATACGAGTGATTAAAAAAATGGGATGACCACATAGCGGGAGTCCGATTTGTTTAATCACGAGTATGATTACAGACCGAATTGGACGAGACAATTTTCTGTTACCAATTGATCATAACTTAAACAAAATATGTGATATATAAGGCTCTTTTTAAAATCAAAACACAGGAACTTTGCTAGCAATGAAAAAAAAAGAACATTTAAGTGCACGCGTGATGGCACTTACTGTCCAGTTATTACTTAGGCATGATGCATACTGTTCCATTAAACTGGCCTATTAAGGCTGAATTCAGGGCAGTTGATAACCAATCAGATTTAAGAATTTTGTTATAGTTATGATTATGATGATGATGATAATAATAATAATAATAATAATAATAATAATAATAATAATAATAATAATAATAATAAATAGTATATATTCAGCCAGAAAGTATAATATATATGTACATCATTAAATCAGTAGCAGAAATGTGCGTGGTAAAAAAAACTACCTAACTAACTGTGGTTAAAAACTGTATTTAGAACTGTTACAATACTACACTTTACTTTGCTCTATTAAAATAGTGAAGATATCCAGTTTTTGCACAAAAGCTCACCTGAAAATCATAAAGCAAGCCACTTTATTCATAGGAGTCGTGTTGTTTCTTACACTCCTGTAGTGTCTAGATGTCATTAAAAGCAGTTTCCAGCCGTTTCCAAGTGATTTTGAGGGGGGTCTTCGTTTTCTACACACCGGGGGGATTGTGTAGAAAACGAAGACCCTGGTCGAAATTTTGTATAATTGAAGATATTGTTGTTTCTCACACATCTAAGGTCGAGATACCCGCTTCTAAACTAGGTAGACGATTTGTTTACGAGTACAGATACAACAAATCAGCTACCATATGTATTTGTTACAAAATTTGATTGGAGCAATTAGGGAGTTGAAAAGTTTGGACACACAGTCCTGGAATTACGGTATTACGAGGTTTATTGTCTCACAAGAGCGTAGCGTCCTAGAGTGGCTAATAGTTTCTAAGTTCACATTTCTTTTCCAGTTTTCATGGTAGAAAGCCTTAAAAGGATGCTGTAGCTTAAAGCAAGCGTTCGTAAGCGCCCTAAGCATACGAAGGGGTGAAACGAAGATATCTGCCGCCGCTTTGATAGTCTGAGTTACCTAGGGGAAGGATGCGACTGACATTTCAGACTACCACTTAGAGGGTTCTTCACAGTTTCACGGATACCGTGGGATCTCCCTCCAAATAAAATACTCCGCTTTCTTAGGTGTCAAGAACGTCAAAAGACTATCGAGAATATTTGGAGCCAACATGAGGGAAATTAAGGTCGCGGAAATTAACGCTCCTCTTAATTAATGGCGCAGAAATTCGCCTTTTTAAAATTGACACGACTTAAATTATCAGGAATTTCCAAAATTCGCGTTATTTCATGAAACGTTTATTTCTTGTTGTAAGGCAGTATCTCAGACATCCATTTACTTCTATTTACTTTGCTTACTACGTTCTATTTGACTAACTGTATTTGACGTTTGCGTGATTGTGCTGCGAAGATAGGCCGAAGAGAAAACAACGCTTTCACGCTTCAAACCATCCCAGCGCAGTGTTATCTGCGCTTTGTTTAAGAAAACAATGTAACAAAGTTAAATAAAATTGAGGCAAACTGTGCTTTTTTGATAATTATCTTTTATAGATTTACTTTTCTATATTATTATCGTTTTTATTTTATACTTTGCTGTATTTTATTTTTTGCACCTTCGACTTTTTTCTGGTACATCTCGTACCGTGCGTACAGGTAACTACGCCTTTGCGCTTGTATAACAGTAAGTGTTAAGAAAAACAAATGGTATTACTGTAATTGTTGGCAATTGTTGATTCAAAGTGTTCTTTCGCTATTTGAGAAAAACTACAGCACTGATTACTATTTTTTTCACCTAACGTAAACGCTGGCGGCACGTCACGTTTGAAACAATCTTGTGCCCTGGGCTTTCCCTTAAAAATGGGAATGGCGGGAAAAGCCCTGGAGACCTGTTGCTTTAAATGCCGAGGAAGACATGCGGCCAAAGTACTCCTGAGAGTTCGAAGAATTTGATTCTTCTGAGTATTTGTTATTCTATCACATTCACTTTAGCCTGGGTTATTGTCAGTTTGTTCAAATATTATGCATATTTTCCCCGTAATTATCTATCCTCAGCGTCTTCTTACGTAATCGTGATTGTCAATTTTCGTAACTGCTTTAGCTCTATTGTTGTCTTCAGCTAAGTATAAAAATTTTCTTCTTCGCCCGTGAAAATCAGTCGTTGTATTCCGAGTGGCTGCGTTCAGATCTTGTAAGTATGGTTTTCCTGTATTTTTTGCTTCGTATTTTTCGATTTGTGCGCATTTTAGTTTTTTCTTTTGCGAAACTTTTTCCAGTTTGCGTTTATTTGAATTCTGTATTTTCCTTTTTTAAAATATGTTCCTCGTGGTGAATCGTTAAGTAATGAACGAGTTCAATCTGTACTTGGAGTTTGATTAGAGTAGCATAAAACTTTCCCGGTGTCTTAGCAAAAGTTTTAGACGGACGGGTAACCATTAATATCGTGTTTTTGGGATTCATTTTGCAAAGTTAGAACAATCCGACAACTCATTCACTATTTTTTATCGGGAATGGTGAAGCGCTTTGGTAATGCGACTTCTCTTGAAACTTTAATCTATTCATAAAATGTGTCCGTCCACATGTATCTAGCTATTTTTGAAAACAGAGATTTTTTCCGTTTTAGCCTTTTGTCCACACGAAAACGGCGCAGCTGGCACCATGAACACAGTTTTTCAAAAACGATCCCTAGAATGGAGTTTTGCGAGCATCATCCTTGATTCATCGTTTAGAGGTTTTCGAATTCGATAATGCATACATCACATTCTACTTAAGCTTGCATTGCGCATTCTCTGTCAAGGATGCTATCGTAATTCCATCGTTTTAGCGTTTTCATCTGCTTTTTGTTTTGTTTCGTTTTAAGTATTTTTAATCGACACAATTCAGTTCACAGGTTTTTTGATCTTGCTATTCTGTGTGGAGAGACCATTGGCCATAATGTTATGTTTAGTGCTGTTAGTGCTGTTCCCTTTGTGTTTCGCAAATGATGAAATCGATAACGATGAGGTGAGTTGGTTTGATTAATTTTTAAGAGCTCCAGACGTTCTTTTTTACGTCGTGATTGGTAGGAAGTTAATTGCATGCAATAACCTACAGTAAGTGTTTGAAATTAATTAACAAAAGTATTTTTTTTCAAAGTGTTACATGTGAGAAAAAGACAATACAGTCATACCCCGTTAATACGACCACTGAAAGGGCAAACACTTTCTAATTATAATTAAAGTCGCTCACAGGCTATAAATTACTGCATAACTCACTTGATGCCAAAATAGTCTTGAAAAGGACGTCTACATATATATCATCCTATCCGGGCTACTGTAGGGCTAGGAAAATCGATGCTGTCAACTGAAGGGTTTTATTTTTGAAAAGAAAAAGGTCTACTACAGCGCGCAGTTGATAATGAAGTGCCTGCGTCAACAGGATTGCCTTTCTATGAGAGTCTGTTGATTGGGCAAGAAACAAGTGTCCTTTTTTCTTATTATAGTGTGTCTGTATCAAGCGGGTTGAATTTAGAGAAAAAGTAACGGCATTACCATGAAACAAAGAAAACTGTCCGTAATAGAGCTAGGGGTCCGTATTGATAATAATAATTAATAAATAAATAAATAACAATTATTCACCGAAGTGGAGGTGGCTAGTGGTGGCATTTACTGAGCCGCGAAAGCACTGGATATCCGGAGGTTGAGTAGCCAATCACATTGAGGGCGCGAAAAACACTATCCACTGTCTTAGTATATATTAAACACATTTACTTTAATATGCTAACCACACACAACAAAATCTGGTTTCCACGTAGGGCGTCGACAAACACGCATTACAAACAAATAGAGGCAAATGGCAGCAAATATTAATCAGGTGACCGTATAGGAATGCGGGGTTCGAAGTCCTGTGCTTCCAAAAACAGTAAACGATGCATTTTTTTTTTTTATTTCTTCGTTTCATTTAGAGTAACCCTAACCAGATCCTAAAAAATGGCTCCTGTAAACACACTTTGTCTTGTGCAGCTGGAATTCCCGGCATCCCTGGAATCCCGGGACCCGCGGGACCAGCGGGACTACCTGGAAATAATGGACCTCAAGGACCCAAAGGTACACGTGGATACAAAGGTGAACCAGGTTCTCCTGGAACTCAAGGCCCCGTTGGCCCCAAGGGACCACAAGGACCCTCGGGTCAAGCTGGAACGAAGGGTGATACAGGTGCTCGAGGTCCCGAAGGTCCAAAAGGGGTTCCGGGACCGTTAGTACGTAATTGGAAACAGTGCGTTTTTCCGAAACTGGCCGATGGCAAGGACACTGGATTGATTAAGGTAAAAGCTAAGAAGGCACCACCACAGAAATTCGTACTTCCCGACTGTCACTTAAGTATTCCAGTTTTTGTCTTAATCATAACTGTAACAAAATTGTTAAATCTGATTGGCTATCAACTGCCCTGATTTCAGCCTTAATTGGACAGATAAATAGGATAGTACGCGTCATGCCTAAGTAATTGGACAGTACGCGCCATCACGCGCGCGCTTAAATGGCTTTTTTTCTCACTGCTAGCAAAACAAAATTTCGAATTTCTTTTGTTTTGATTTAAAAAATAGCCTATTATATCAAAAATTTTGTTAAAGTTATGATTAATTGGTAACAGAACTTCGTGTCGTCCAATTCGGTCTGTAATCATACTCGTGATAAAACAAATCGGACTCCCGCTACGCGGTCGTCCGATTTTGTTAATCACTCGTATGATTACCGAATTGGACTCCACTCAGTCCTTTTACCATTACTAGTTAAATTCCATAGGGAATACTTTTATATGTTTGTGTCCTTTTAAACATGCAAGTCAAACCGTACGAAAAATTCTAAACTTTTGTTAAAATTTTTTTTGCAGAAACCAAAAACGTTGCGATTAAAGTTTCGAATGTAAAACCACAGGAATTTGTTTACAGATGCAAAACGAAACTTAAAAAACTCACCACCTTTCCTTGGTGCTGTTGGCAGCATAATAAACAGTAGCATATGAAAGCCTAGTGTTGTTGAAGAGCCATCGTTTTAATGGCCATATTCATAGCTTCATTTTATTAGTAACAATACAGGAGTTTGTACAGATGCAAAGCTTTAAATAACCTTGTACTGCTGACAGCATAATAAACAGTACCATATGAACTGAGTCTAGTGCTGCTGAAGAGGTACTGGATATTTGAATGATTCAAAAGTTAGTACCACCTTTTACAGGATAAGAAACAAAACCACCAGAAAGTACAGCCCAATAGCTATCCGAAGCCTGAAACCGTAACATCACAGGATTTCGTCCAGAGGCTCTGCAGAGAGAATTTCGTCTTTACACCGCCGTCATTGTTGTTTCTGTTTTTTTTTTTTCAACAGGATTGTGTTTTCGAGAAGAGGTCAGACAGCACAAGTCTGCGCGTCTACTGGAGTGGCCAACTCCGCATCTATAACTGCGACGCTTGTTGCAGGCGATGGTATTTCACTTTTAATGGTGTAGAATGCTCGACACCAGCAGCTATTGATGCTACAGTCTATATGTATAAAGGATCTGGCAGCAGAAAAGATAATTTGCACCGCCCACGTCACGTTGAAGGAGTCTGTGATAAAATCCACAAAGGGAAGGTGCGCGTGGGATTCTGGGTTGGCAACTGCGCGGGGTATGGAAATGCCGATGCGTACACAGGCTGGAACTCAGTGTCCCGGATTTATGTGGAAGAAATGCCTCCCCCGCAAGCTGAAAATTAAAGGAGTGGATTCAAATGTTCGGAAGTTTTGGAAAATTCAGGGTGCTTGATAAAGATTCAACTATGAACAGAAACATTTCTCGTAACTAGTGGTTTTGAGATGCTAAGCCACCAGGGTAAAGAACATTCAGATATCTGACAAACTGTAATCTAAATCTACATATGCAAATAAAAGATAGTTTAATTTATAAATGGGTGTGGTGTGTCGATACGTTTGAGGTGTACTCTCCCATGATGAGATCAGGTCACTCACCGTAAAGCACCGCATAAAATCAATGATTAAAACAATGGTAACATTTCGATTATGGCAGGTACGGCTCTAAGAGCATTAACTTGACAGCAGCCTGGCGTAGCACAGTGCAGGAAGTGCATGTGGTAAGTTTTTTGCTTAGTGATAACAAAATTAGACTGAAATTAAAGGAGCTGTGTCACAAAATTTATCAAATTTTAAACAGTGAAGGCAAGAATGGATAGACTTTTTCAGAAAATTAAAACGGATTGCAATTGTGGTCTTTGAAAACGTGTTAGCGTAACAGTTTTTCAAATTACATTCAACTTGTTTGTTTGCAACAGTTTCATATGATGCTTTTGGAGAGATGTTTGTTTTACAAAAAGCTGTAATGTTGTCTGTTACAAGTAAATTCCTTGCTAACGTTAACTTACTTAGCAAATTAAGATGTGTTACTGGTAACCCAATTTGAATTACCACAAGTTTCCTCGTGCTTCAATCGGACACCATCGAAAATCTCTTCTGACAATTTTCCTTGTGCAAAACTTTAACGCAGCTCTTATAAAGCGCTATCAGAAAAACCGATAGATGCTGTATCATTAAATTCAAAGGTTACACTTATTGCAAAATATCATGGTCATGATTATAGTCTTGTATTAGTTCGACTCGCAATATCATGTTAGTGGTACATAAGGAACCGGTTAGGCGCCGCTTTTCGGTTGCCTTAAAGAGCGTTTTCAGTCACATGACCACTAGCAATAGAAATTTATTGCGACAAAAGCCTCCAACAGGCCACCCAGCAGGCACGTGAAAAGGTTCCAAAAAAATTATAATTAACCTTTAATTTATCCCACACAAAGTAACAAGTTCAGTGACCAATGAAGATGTTTGCCGACTGACGGACGCTGTATTCTTTAGGCTCTCGAAGAGCTTAAAAGAATTTCATTATCGAGTCCTACGTCGTGCAAGTACCACTCCAACAACTGAAAATTCTTTGGTAATTCAGCCGTTAGAACGGTTTGGCTATGCTCTTCTTAAACGCTATGTTTACAATGACCATGATCTTCAATTCGCCGACTTTACGATTCCTCCGAGCGATGTCTACGAAGTATCTACAAGGAATAGCGAAGTCCATGTAAGAGTCATGTGAGATAGGTGTACGTTATTTTTGGGCGATAAATAGAGAGATTAAGGGCCTCTTCACATAAGCCTGGTTTCCGAGATCTCGCCATACTTCTAAATCCTTTGTAAAATTTTTGATATGATGTGTTCATATGAGATGGCGGGCTGGCTCGGTTCCCAGGATCCCGATAAGCGGGCTGGAAATTTTGCCATATGAATACTTCAGCCCGGTTACGGGGATGAAAGCGGAATGAATTCTGGCGGTCCGGATGGTATCGTCTTGCATTCCTGCTGTATTCTCCACATCATGAGCATGTCATGTAACTGTTATACGACTTAAACGCCTTGCCCGAAGCTTGCATCGTTAACCTTAGAAATGATAGTAGTGATTATTTCAGTGGCACAAACGAACGCAAGAAACTATGGGTATGATTTCAAGCCTTGGGCCTTAGCTTATGCGGAACCTAAAATTGGTTTACAGGAGGCAAAGTTGAAAATTAAGAGGTAGAGCGTGATTATACTAAAAAAGAGGTTAAAACGTCCTGGGATATGACAGATGTCTTTTGTTACCCAACTCTCGAAAATGATAAATGTGAAGTTAGGTCTTGGAACAATATTGTTCCATCCCCAGGTGGATCCAGTGATAAAATTGTTTATTTTTTGTTCAGTCCCGCAAGCTTCCTAATCAGTATAGATCCTGTTATGTCCAAATTTGTGCCAGTGACTCGTACAGGCGTCATTAATATGTTTCCAATTGACGTTTACTATTCTCAAGACATACTAAAAACGTAGATACTGCAGTCGGCTGCTGGTTGCTATACAATAGCGATGAGTATTTTTCCTGTCGAGCTCCGAATCAGAGAGCTCCAAACCGCCCCACCTGGGATCAAGAGCGTTTCATCGCAGTCATTAAAGAGTAAGTTAGCAAGAATAGCTCAACATTACCGTGCAAAAGTCAGTTAGGGGAATCACAATAAAGAAAACGTATTGTAGGACTTGGTCAATTGTTTCCTATGACACAAGCGGAAAAAATTACATTTTATTACACTGGACCCACTCTTGACGAGGAACGTAGACTGTGAGCATCGTCGCGCTTTTTCTTCTTATTTAATTAGTGAGGGGAGTGCACACGTGCGCGAGTGTCGAGCGGCGAGGCCGCAAGAGCCTCTCTTCGTCTTGTGCCTTCAGTCGCGCGTGTGGTCATTTTTCGTCTCTCGCGCGCAATTCGCTTCACAGACTAAGAAAAAACAGAGATCAGACTGCTCGCAAACTACGAAGCCCGACGCTCATAGCAAAAAGCCAAAAGGTTATAAGCTTTTTCACCAGATAATAAGGTATTATCTCAGACATCTATTTACTTCTATTTACTTTGCTTACCACGTTCTATTTGACTAACTGTATTTGACGTTTGCGTGATTTTACTGCGAAGATAGGCTGAAATGAAAACAACGCTTTCACGCTTTAAACCATCCCAACTTGCTATCCGCGCGTTGTTTAACAAAAAAATATTACAAAGTTAAATAAACTGAGACAAACTGTGCTTTTTTGATAATTATCTTTTATAGATTTTCTTTTCTATATTATTATCGTTTTTATTTTATACTGTGCAGTATTTTATTCTTTGCACTTTCGACTTTTTCTGGTACGTCTCGTACCATGCGCACAGGTAACTACGCCTCTGCGCTCCTTGTATAATTGTAAGTGTTAACAAAAAGAAATGGTATTACTGTAATTGTTGGCAATGGTTGATTCAAATTGTTCTTTCGTTATTTGAGAAAAACTACAGCACTGATTACTATATTTTCCACCTAACGTAAACGCTGGCGGCACGTCACGTTTGAAACAATCTTGTGCCAAGGGCTTTCCCTTAAAAATGGGAGTGGCAGGAAAAGCCCTGGAGACCTGTTGCTTTAAATGCCGAGGAAGACATGCCGCCGGTGTATCCCCGAGAGTTCGAAGAATTTGATTCTTCTGAGTATTTGTCATTCTATCACATTCACTTTAGCCTGGGTTATTGTCAGTTTGTTCAAATATTATACATATTTTTCCCGTAATTATCTATTCTCAGCGTCTCCTTACGTAATCGTCATTGTCAATTTTCGTAACTGCTTTAGCTCTATTGTTGTCCTCAGCTAAGTATAAAAATTTTCTTCTTCGCTCATGAAAATCAGTCGTTGTATCCCGAGTGGCTGCGTTCAGATCTTGTAAGTATGGTTTTCCTGTATTTTTTGCTTCGTAATTTTTCGATTTGTTACGCATTTTAGTTTTTTCTTTTGCCAAAATTTTTCCAATTTGCGTTTATTTGAATTCTGAATTTTTCTTTGTTAAAATGTGTTCCTCGTGGTGAATCGTTAAGGACTGAACGAGTTCAATCTGTACTTGGAGTTTGATTCGAATACAATAAAAGTTTCCCTATGTCTTAGCAAAAGTTTTAGTCGGACGGGTAACCATTAATATCATGTTTTTGGGATTCATTTTGGAGAGTTAGAACAATCCGACAACTCATTCACTATTTTTTATCGGGAATGGTGAAGCGCTTTGGTAATGCGACTTCTCTTGAAACTTTAATCTATTCATAAAATGTGTCCGTCCACATGTATCCAGCTATTTTTGAAAACAGAGATTTTTTCCGTTTTAGCCTTTTGTCCACACGTAAACGGCGGAGCTGGCACCATAAACATAGTTCTTCAAAAACCATCCCCAGAATGGAGTTTTGCGAGTATCATCCTTGATTCATCGTTTAGTTGTGGATGGACGAAAAACAGAGGTTTTCGAATTCGATGATGTCATACATCATATTCTACTTGCATTACGCATTCTCGGTCTAGGATGTTATCGTATCTCCATCGTTTTAGCGTTTTCATCTGCTTTTTGTTTTGTTTCGTTTCAAGTATTTTTAATCAACACAATTCAATTCACAGGTTTTTTGATCTTGCTATTCTGTGTGGAGAGACCATTGGCCATGATGTTATGTTTGGTGCTGTTATTGCTGATCCCTTTGTGTTTCGCAAATGATGAAATCAGTAACAATGAGGTGAGTTGGTTTGATTAAATTTTAAGAGCTCCAGACGTTCTTTTTTACGTGGTGATTGGTAGGAAGTTAATTGCATGCAACTACCTATAGTAAGTGTTTGAAATTAATCAACAAAAGTATTTTTTTCAAAGTGTTACATGTGAGAAAAAGACAATACAGTCATACCCCGTTAATACGACCACTGAAGGGGCGAACACTTTCTAATAAGTTGAGTCGCTCGCTCACAGGCTATAAATTACTGCATAACTCACTTGATGCCAAAATAGTCTTGAAATGGACGTCCACTATATATGATCCTAACCGGGGTACTGTAGCGCTGGGAACATCGACATGCTGTCAACTCAAAGGTTTTATTTTCAAAAAAAGAAAGGTCTATTACAGCACGCAGTTGATAATGAAGTGCCCGCGTCAGCAAGATTGCCTGTCCATGGGAGTTTGTCGATTGGGCAAGAAACAAGTGTCCGTTTTTCTTATTACTGTGTGTTCGTATCAAGCGGGTTGAATTTAAAGAAAATGTAAAGGCATTACCATGGGACAAAGAAAACTGTCAGTAATAGAGCTAGGTGTCCGTATAAATAATAAATAAATAAATAAATAACAATTATTTACCGAAGTGGAGGTGGCTAGTAGTGGTAATTTACTGAGCCGCGAGAGCACTGGATATCCGGAGGTTGAGTAGCCACTCAGATCGAGCGCGCGAAAAACACTATCCACTGTCTTAGTATATACTAAATACATTTATTTCAAAATGCTAACCACACACAACAAAAGCTGGTTTCCAGGTAGGGCGTCGACAAACACGCATTACAAACAAATAGAGGCAAATGGCAGCAAATATTAATCAGGTGATTAATATTTATAGGAATGCGGGGTTCGAAGCCCTGTTCTTCCAAAGACAATAAATGATGCATTTTTCTTTTTATTTCGTCGTTTCATTTAGAGTAACCCTAAGCAGATCCTAAAAAATGACTCCTGTAAATACACTTCGTGTTGTGCAGCTGGAATTCCCGGCATCCCTGGAATCCCGGGACCCGCGGGTCCAGCGGGACTACCTGGAAATAATGGACCTCAAGGACAAAAGGGTACACGTGGATACAAAGGTGAACCAGGTTCTCCTGGAACTCAAGGCCCCGTTGGCACCAAGGGACCACAAGGACCCTCGGGAAAAGCTGGAACAAAGGGTGATACAGGCGCTCGAGGTCCCGAAGGTCCAAAGGGGGTTCCGGGACCGTTAGTACGTAATTGGAAACAATGCGTTTTTCCGAAACTGGCCGACGGCAAGGACACTGGATTGATTAAGGTAAAAGCTAAGAGGGCAACACCACAGACATTGGTACTTCCCGACTGTCACTTAAGTATTCCATTTTTGTCTTAATTCAATTCTATAGGGAATACTTTTATATGTTTGTGTCCTTTTAAACATGCAAGTCAAACCGTGCGAAAAATTCTAAACTTTTGTCAAAAATTTTTTTGCAGAAACCAAAAACGTTGCGATTAAAGTTTCGAATGTAAAACCACAGGAATTTGTTTACAGATGCAAAACGAAACTTAAAAAACTCACCACCTTTCCTTGGTGCTGTTGGCAGCATAATAAACAGTAGCATATGAAAGCCTAGTGTTGTTGAAGAGCCATCGTTTTAATGGCCATATTCATAGCTTCATTTTATTAGTAACAATACAGGAGTTTGTACAGATGCAAAGCTTTAAATAACCTTGTACTGCTGACAGCATAATAAACAGTACCATATGAACTGAGTCTAGTGCTGCTGAAGAGGTACTGGATATTTGAATGATTCAAAAGTTAGTACCACCTTTTACAGGATAAGAAACAAAACCACCAGAAAGTACAGCCCAATAGCTATCCGAAGCCTGAAACCGTAACATCACAGGATTTCGTCCAGAGGCTCTGCAGAGAGAATTTCGTCTTTACACCGCCGTCATTGTTGTTTCTGTTTTTTTTTTTTCAACAGGATTGTGTTTTCGAGAAGAGGTCAGACAGCACAAGTCTGCGCGTCTACTGGAGTGGCCAACTCCGCATCTATAACTGCGACGCTTGTTGCAGGCGATGGTATTTCACTTTTAATGGTGTAGAATGCTCGACACCAGCAGCTATTGATGCTACAGTCTATATGTATAAAGGATCTGGCAGCAGAAAAGATAATTTGCACCGCCCACGTCACGTTGAAGGAGTCTGTGATAAAATCCACAAAGGGAAGGTGCGCGTGGGATTCTGGGTTGGCAACTGCGCAGGGTATGGAAATGCTGATGCGTACACAGGCTGGAACTCAGTGTCCCGGATTTATGTGGAAGAAATGCCTCCCCCGCAAGCTGAAAATTAAAGGAGTGGACTCAAATGTTCGGAAGTTTTGGAAAATTCAGGGTGCTTGATAAAGATTCAACCATAAACAGAAACATTTCTCGTAACTTGTGGTTTTGAGATGCTAAGCCACCAGGGTAAAGAACATTCAGATATCTGACAAACTGTAATCTAAATCTACATATGCAAATAAAAGATAGTTTAATTTATAAATGGGTGTGGTGTGTCGATACGTTTGAGGTGTACTCTCCCATGATGAGATCAGGTCACTCACAGTAAAGCACCGCATAAAATCAATGATTAAAACAATGGTAACATTTCGATTATGGCAGGTACGGCTCTAAGAGCATTAACTTGACAGCAGCCTGGCGTAGTACAGTGTAGCAACTGCATGTGGTTATTCTTTTCCTTAGTGATAACAAAATTAGACTGAAATTAAAGGAGCTGTGTCACAAAATTTATCAAATTTCAAACAGTGAAGGCAAGGATGGATAGACTTTTTCAGAAAATTAAAACGGATTGCAATTCTGGTCTTTGAAAACGTGTTAGCTTGAGAGTTTTTCAAATTACGTTCATCTTGTTTGTTTGCAACAGTTTCATACAATGCTTTTGGAGAGATGTTTGTTTTACAAGAAGCTGTGATGTTGTCAGTTACAAGTAAATTCCTTGCTAACGTTAACTTTCTTAGCAAATTAAGACTCATTACCGGTAACCCAATTTAAATTGCCTTAAGTTTCTTCGTGCTTCAATCGGACACCATCGAAAATCTCTTTTCTTTATAATTTTCCTTGTCCATAACTTTAACGCACCTCTTATAAAGCGCTGTCAGAAAAAACGATGGATGCTGTATCATTATATTCAAAGGTTACACTTGCAAAAGATCATGATCATGAATGTAGTCTTGTATTAGTTGGACTCGCAATATCATGTTAGTAGTATATTAGGGATTGGTTAGGCGCACTTTTTCAGTTGCTTTATAGAGCTTCTTCACCGACGTGACCCGCCTCAATGCAAATTTATTGCGATAAAAGCTTCCAACAGGACTGGTCTAAGACGTGACGTCACGTGATAAGGTTCTTTATAATTGACCTTTAATCTATCCCACACAATAGAAACAAGTTCGGTGACCAAAACTTAGTATAGCCGCGAACGTTAAAATTGTTGTGTTTCTCCATATTTGCCTTGTTTCTCAAATTAGGCAACCATATCTCGTCCCCAGGATCTTCATGCCAATGGTGGACAGCCTTTCCAAGCACCCTGTCTGTGGGTCTTACAATCCCAGAGCGGGGCCTCCCTTATATAAGTTATACAGGTATGTGCAAACAATACAAGGACGACAGAGACGAGGACAGTCTTCTGGGTCTGTATGAAGTGGAATTTGGAGAAGTACTGGATGCATCCTCACTTCTGCAGCCGTTTGTGAGGGCCTACTGCGGAACAGACCTTGCAAAGGTCAGACGATTCATGCAGAGGATCTCAAGCCTTCAGGCACGCGCGCGGTCATTTTTCCTCTCTCGCGCGTTTTGCCCGAAGGACTAAGAAAAAAGGAAGGGTGCTCGTAAAATACGAAGCCCGACGCCCACTAACAAAAAAGCCAAATGATTATAAGCTGGACACTGGACGTAGTTCTCATTTGGCTTTGCCAAGGTCTACTTCTCACTTAAACAATGCAGAGCTGGTGATGGCGTCTTGTAAGCTGGGTCTAACTTTTAACTCTGTGAAGGAAACCCTATGGTGTTACCATTCAAATGAAACCTCTTCAGCAATACTTTCCACATGGTACTATTTATTTAGTACGTAGTTCTAACTTTTGAGTCTGCAGACCAAATCCTATGATGTGACCATTTAAATGAAAGCTCTCTAGCAGTACTTTCACATGGTACTATTTACTTAGTATGTAGTTCTAACTTTTAAATCTGTGAACGAAACCCTATGGTGTGACCATTCAAATGAAAGCTCTTTAGCAGTACTTTCACATGGTAACATTTATTTAGTATGTAGTTCTAGCTTTTGAGGCTGTGGATGAAATCCTATGGTGTTACCGTTCAAATGAAAGCTCTTTAGCAGTACTTTCACATGGTACTATTTATTAAGTATGTAGTTCTAACTTTTGAGTCTGTTGATGAAACCCTATGGTGTTACCATTCAAATGAAACCTCTTCAGCAGTACTTTCACTTGGTACTAATTGTTTTCCAGAATTTCACAAAATCACTGAAAATTGGAAATTTTGGCGTTTTCAATTGGGCCATTCCTGGGGCGAAATCCAAGTTTGAGAGGTGTTATACTGACAACAACAGGAACCAACACCAAAGCTAAATTAACAAAGGATCTTTTAATTAAACAAAGTCATATAAATACTGCACAATATCAAACTTCAACTGCTTGGCGATCTCCGAGATGGTGAGAAAATTGACGAGGCATTTATACTTGGGGCAGTCAATCTGATCATCAGATGTCACTTGAGCTAGAAGATTTAGTGAAACCAGCGATGAAATCTGGCACAGAATGCTTGCTGAAGGCGCAACGTTGTCTTCCACTATGCTGTAGAATATAGCCATTAGACGGTCGAGCGGGAAATTCTTAGGACCTGCGGCGACAAAAATAATGATGGTTGATCGATAAGAGAAGCAATGACGAAAATGGTTTCTGGAATTAGTGACAGAGGTAGAGCCTTTTCCTTAGCAAATTTACATTTACATTTACATGTATTAGGTCGGTAAAAACAGTTAGGTTATCACACCAAAATTCAGGATATACGGGATGTTTAGTCTAAACGATTTTCTTCAAATAGCAACAATGTCATCTGTCGAGTTGTAGTTTTTTGTTGTAGTTGTCTTTCTAAGTTTTTAGCCAGTAGTTCGGCTATTTCTTCTTCACAAGGAAGCCATTTCCTCTAGCTTTACCAAAACAACGCACCTTTGTATAGTGTTTATCCTGTACTATTGACGTCATTTTATCAGATCTCGAAAGCGCCTTCCAAATATGGTCAACGCTAGCGGGTTATGAAGAATTAGCTAGAGGATTTGAGCCAATCAGAAATGGAGAATTTTTTTTTCAGAATTCCACCGCTTTATCTGTACTACAGGAGCGTAGCGTCCATATACGCACACCCACTCCTGTGTATAACTGAAATATGTCAAAAAAATACATTTTTTTATTTCCGGAAAGCATTCTTATTGTTAGATAGCGGTGATTGACAAATTTTTTCGCATTCTACTTGTGTCTTTGCCTGACTGAAGGGTAAACGTCTCGCCCTTAGCCCGCGAATATACCCGTACTCTCCTCAACTCCTCGCCAGTAGGGACGTTTCATAGGAGAGACGAGGAGAGATGGCTATCTTGCAGGCTATCTCGCCCCTTGCTTGTAACTTCCTTTTTGGCGTTGACCGCTGTCTTACCATACCAAAAAGAGATGGGTAAAATATATAAGTAACTATTGCATTTTCCTTTGTTTTCATTTATTTAAAATTTCCATCGGAAAACGTAGGAAATGGATTTCCGCGCCTCTAAATTTGACAATTCTGAAAGGAGGGGGTGGGGGGGGGGGGGAGGGGCGCATGCCTCCACCCCCGCCTCCTTGGGGGCCCCTTTGGGGGTTTGCCTTTTCTTCCTTTGCGTACACCTACAAAACCCCCCCCGGCCCCCTTTTTTACATTTGTACCTGTAAGTGGAGGGTTGGCTTTTTTTCTTTTGGCATGCGATTGTTTATGATAAAAAGTTAACATTAATATAATTTATTTGTTTATATGTGTTATTTCGTTGTGTTGGTTTTGAAAAAAGGGGAAGACGAGAGAAGGGGGGAGGGGGTGGGGGGGGGGAGGGAGGTAGTGGGGGGGGGGGGGGGGGGGGGGGGGGGGGGGAAGGGCGCATGCCTCCAGCCCCGCCTACTTTGGAGCTCCTTTGGTGGTCTGACTTTTCTTCCTGTGCGTACATCTACAAAATCTCACGCGGCGCCCATGTATACAGTTGTACCTGTAAGTTGAGTGTTGGACTTTTTTCCTTTGGCAGCAGCCTTCGCCCTGTTGCTTATTCCTCTTCTTCCTTGTTTTGTGAAGAACCTTCTGTCTGTGTGAGCAGGGTTGTATGACGCCAAATAAGCCGCAATCAGGAGATACTTGGTATAAAATGGAAGTTCAATGTAAGAACGAACTGAGACACCTAGAACAGAGAAGTAAAATGCTGTTTCAATTAGCGTGTCAGCGAATTTTCTTACCCCGAGCAGGGTGCAAAGAAATTCATTTTTACAGCTTGCCATTCGGGGAAGCCGAAGCTAACATTTACTAGCCCAAACGTCATTTCAACCAGCCCCCAAAATTTATTGATGAGCAGAATTGATTTCACAGTTCTTCTGTAAGTTGAATTCCTCAAAATACTTCACTTGCCCATCTGGCAAATTAAGAACAGAATTCACTAGCCCAATAGCAAAATCCACTAGCCCTGGGCTATCGGACGCTAGTTTCTTTGCACGCTGCCAAGAAAATAGAGCGGATTGTGCCACTTTGAAGGGTTTGAGCAGTTTGTTGAAGACAGCATTAACCATACCTCTAAATTCTTACATTTCTTCGCTGTCACTGCATTGACTACAATGTGAAATTAGCAAATGCGATGTCTTATGACTATACAATGACTATACAAAAGAGATGGTGACGGCAAAGACTCTTTAAAAAATGTTCGGAACACTTTTTAAAAAAGAAAAAACCATTGGTTTTATACGCAAACCAACAGTGTATTGAGGAGTGTAGTTAGTTAATGTTCTTACCCTGGTCCCCTAGATTTTCATTGTTGTCCTGTGTATCTTGACTTATAATCGACTCCCACTGGTGACTGGACACCTCTCTGAGATAAACTGTGTGAAGTGCCTTCTTCAGGTGGGGCTCGATGTTCCTCCATAGTTTACGACTGTCTGTCATTTCAGCATCACCGGAGACTACTGGCTCACAATATTTGGGAAAATGTAACAGGGCCTGAAATGAATAAAAGATATACTGGTAGATCAGTTTTTAGTCAATAGAAGGAAATACATGTGCAGATTTCATGAAAGCCTCCCATGCAAGCGTTTTTAGGAGAGCTTGTATTTCGCCCTCCCTAGAAATGCCTGCTCAACCAAGAACAACATTCCTTTCCCAAGCTTAGCCAATCGCAAAGTGGCAAAAGTAAGATTTAATCAGATTTTAGAATACTCTGTGCACTGCATAACCTTAGCGAAGGAAAGAAAAGTAGGAAAATTGTAACTCTAGGGTCAAGTTTATACACTACCATGAGTCATGTTTAGTATGTCAACACTTTATTTGATTGGTCACTTACCATGTGAATTGGTCACTTACCATGTGAATAAAACAATGGAAAAGGAATGTTGTTCTCAGTAGGGCAGGCGTTTGTGGGGAGGGGCGAAATACAAGCTCCCCTAAAAATGCCTGCCTGAGAGGCTAATTTTAAGATGACTTGCTCAAACAAGGTCACCTACTGATGGACTTTGGCTAAATAAAGAAATTACTCATACTTATATGCTTCCAATACTCTCTTCCAAATGAGTCAAGGCTGTCACTAGACTTTCAAGTTGCTGGGTTTGTATGCAATTAGTAGGTGGGAACTGAATGGCTAGGAAGTTTTTTTCAATAAAAGGACAATATAGCCTGAATTTCATCCGATTACTTCGAGTCGTTATTTCTCCCTCAGTAACGTCTGAATCGACCGGCCGTTAATGCCGTCCAGTGACGTCACTAGTCCTTGACCTTTGCTTTAATTCATGCAAAAAGTAAAACACGATTTTCAAGTGGCAAACCGAGAAATATCGTCTGGAAATGTCTGCATGATACAGAACTGCTTTATTTTTTTCGATCGTAATTCATGTTTAACGTTGAAACTATCAACTGCATGCAGTACAACTCTGAACCGGTTGTACTAAATTCTATAAATATCAAACTCGGTCGCAATCACGCAAATGAAATAAACACACACAAGGAAAAATTAGTTCAAAAACACAATGATTTGCTTTAATTAACGAAGAAAAAAAACAAGGAGACAAGAAAGAAAAGCTAACAGAATCATTACACTTGACGGTAAAAATAGCAAGAAGGTCGAATTATAACATTGATCTCAGAAAACTTCGCGTAAACAAAATCAACGGCCGCCGAAACCACAAAGCGGCTCTAAATGAAAAACTTACACACTCTCCGCAATGATTCTTCATTAGCAGTTCAATTTAGCACTTCAGTTTCGAAGACAAGGGCAATTTTGCTGTTTAAGATAAAGATTAAGCTTATCGAAATGTTTGAACTAAACGAAAGAATGCCGGGGATGCGATCCGCTGAATATCAAGCGACAATCCCGGTAAAATTTTTCATAATTATACATAATTATGCGAATGTTTAGACAATCAACCAATCAAAATCACTACCCGGTTTTCGGGTAGTGAGTGACGTCACTAGACGGCATTAACGGCCCGTCGATTCAGACGTTGTTGAGAGGAAAAAACGACTCGAAGCAATCGGATGAATTTCAGGCTAAGGACAATAATTATTATTGTCCTTTTATCTCCACTGAAAGAAGCTGGGGGTCGTGCTCAATGTTGCCGGGAGTGATCTCTGCCCCTCCTCCCCCTCCCACCAGCTCTTATTAACAGCCCTTTATGCCGATAAGCCCCAATACAGGGGAAACAGCTGTTCATGGCTACCACTGCCCAGGTGATATGGCTGTGTGCATGCATAAGGTACTGGCCATGCCACGGTTTGTTGTCAGTAAGTCACTTGTCTTTAGTGCAAATATTATCATACTCACTAAATGACGCAGTTCATTCAGATCTCTACACACCGAGTAGAACACACTCGTAAAAAGTTGACAGTAGGCTTTGTAGAACTCCACAGGATATGATGATGGACAATCTTTGGCCATAATCTGAAGTAACTCCACCTTCGAATAATCCGGAAAGTGAACCACAACAGGTTCATAAAATCCCGTACCAACTTGGAATTTTTCCCACACAATTTGACTGATGAAGATGACACAGATATTAAGTTGTGTCAGCTCTTGAAGTCTCAGGAATGCCGGCAGAACATTGGCTTCAATATCCCGTAATCTCTCAGCTTTATCAAGGACAATGTAAAATGTTTCACTTGTGAGCTGTCTTGATGATAAAGAATTCTTGAGTTGGCGGAAAAAGTCTGTCATGTTGTCACATTTGGGTGGGGGATCGAAATCATCATCTTCTTCATCCAAATCTTGTAACTGGTATAAAATGTGCTCATAAATAAGACGTGCTGTAAAACTCTCTATGCAGTTCACCAACGCATGGGGAAGCTGTTCAAGAACAACAAACGGAAAAAAATCAAAACTATTTCATCTTATATAAAAATCTGCCAATTTAAAACAACAAAGAATGTCTGAAAATGATCATACTTGAGTTGATTCTTTTTACACTACAGGGCCTGGTTCCTGAAAGGTCGATTAGTGTTAATCTGGGATTAAAATTTTGTTCTGTTTTTGTATTTTACATTCCTATGTGTTGCTTAGGGTAACATTTTGTGTTACCATTACTGCATCTCGTAGCAAAGGCTCAACAGTATTTCGTAACCTCGAGTTGCATGTTCTTAGACAAGAAAACCATGCTTGAAATTTGGCTTTAAATCCGCAGGGTTAAACTTAACCATCTTTTGAGGAACAGGGCCCAGCTGTACAAGTATCAGTCAGAGAGAAACTTTGAGATGTGATCAACCTTCATAACAAAAACAATTTGGGACTAAGTCAATCATGTGCCAGTATCAGGGATAAAACATGCATTGTTTACCATTTACCACAAATTACCGCAAATTCCTGTTGGGGTGTAAATGGTATTAAATGTTTTTTTGGTTTGTCCCACTGGAAAATTCCCGGGACAAATGGAAATTCTGAAAGGTAGTCCCGTTTTCCCAGTTGGGATGTTCCAAATGGAAATTGTTATACCACTTACTTGTTTCTTGAGTTTCATACTAGTTTTATGTTGTAACTAGAATCTCGGCAGTCTAGCGCGGCAAGACAATCCGGAAATTTTGGGCAAATGGTAGACGACATGTACCGCTCTTACCGAGCGAAAATTCCCAAATAAAATTTCCGGAATTTTTTATAAATGGCAAACAATCATGGTGACTTATTGGACGTGGGGGGGGGGGGGGGGGTGGGGTGGGAGGGTGGGGGGGGGGGGTTAAGTGCTTTTTAAGAAAACTCTCAAGATTTTTGATCTGCAGAGGCGGGCATCTTTGTGGGCAGCTTCGTTTATTCTGTGTCCAAAATTCAGGATTAAACGATTGTCAATAAAATAATTTATAAACCTCGCATGCTTTTAAATAAACAACATGCTCACCTCCAAATTTTTCAAATCGGCATATTTGCGCAAAAGGAAGGAGTCATGTTCTCCATTGTAACGGGTAAAAAAATTCAAGATAATTTTGGGTGATTTGTATAGAGGGGAACGAAATGATGGGTGGTTTTGGGGGGGTGGGGGGGGGGGGGTGGTAGGGTGGGATGGTGGGGAGGGAGGGTTAAGTGCTATTTAAGAAAACTCTCCAGATTTTTGATCTGCAGAGGCTGGCATCTCTGATGGCAGCTTCGATTATTCTGTGTCCAAAATTCAGGATTAAACGATTGTCAATACAATAAATTATAAGCCTCGCATGCTTTTAAATAAACAACATGCTCACCTCCAAATCTTTCAACAAAGTTTCCACGACCACCGTTTTCCCTGTAGCTGTATGACCGCAGATGAATATCGATGGCGACACAAACGAACCTCTGTCTCCAAAAAGTGTCAACAATAGATCTATTTCAGATTTTCTGCAAACAAGTTTGTTGTAAACACTGTCGACAGTTTCTTTGCGGTATGATCCTTCCTTTGCCGCCATGTTGGTATACAACCGAAAAAAGCTGGGGCGAACAGTGACAAGATCTCCCCTCCTGGGATAGGTGGATCGATTAGTTTCCTCTTCTGCCATAAATTCACAGATAAAAAATATGCTTTTCCCTCCTTCAAATCAGAATTTTGCATATATTTTTAAAATTGATGTAAATACTCCATAAAGATTGTTCTTTCAATTTCTATTTGCAAGTATCGACTATTTAGTTACACTTCACCCTACCCTAGAGAAAGTACATTTAGTCGTTTAGAATTCAAGATGGCTTCTGCAATTTACGGCGTTGTGTATTTTCTGGTGATCAGTCTATGTCTGACACTTTTTACTCTCGTCTTGTGCTTTGTTGTTTACCTTCATCACAAACATAAGACCCTTGATCATATACCTGGCCCTAAACGCGATGGATTTTTCTGGGGAAACATAAAAGAAATGGAGAGGCTAAAGAAAGCCTATGGCTACAGCAGCGGTGCTGAAATCTTGAACCACCTCTGTCGAGAGTATGGTCCTGTTATGGTACTCTGGGTGTTTCACATTCCTATCGTTTACATATCAGATGCTGAATTGACCAAGAAAGTGCTTATCACATCCAATTATCCTAAAGACTCCTGGGCTTATGATAAGCTGGCTTATATTTTCGGAGAGAGGTTTTTGGGGAAAGGCCTTGTCACAGAAACCGATCACGAGAAATGGAAGGAGAAACGTCTCGCTCTCAATCCTGCATTTCACAGGAAATATTTGAAGGAATTCATGGAGCAATTTAATGCGAGTTGTGATGTCCTTTTGGCAAGGCTAGCTAAATTAGCTGATGGCAAAACAGAGGTGTTAATGGCAGACGAGTTTAACAGAATTACTTTGGATATTATTGGCAAGGTAAGTTATAGAACTATTTTTGCTCTGGCATTTAAGGATGTGTTCCTTTGGGATGATCCAGATCAGGATCAGTGATCCGAGATCACTCGGATCATGGAAGATCAAATAAACCAATGAATCCACTCTGGACAAGGATTCATTGGTTCATTTGATCTACCATGATCTGAGTGATCTCAGATCGCTGATCCTGATCTGGATCATCCCAAAGGAACGCACCCTATGTAAAGGGTGTTACTGATCACCCTATGTGTGGTATTCTAGACAGTCTTGGATTCTGGATTCCACACAATGGAATCCAGATTCCAGGTACTAGATATCCAGAATCCTTCCCAGTGGAACTTAGATTCCGCATTCCAAATGTTAGCAGGATTCCGGATTCCTTGAGCTTAATTCTAGATTCAAAAGCCCAGAATTCTGGATTCCACTTGCATATCTTGTATTGTGACCTGTATTGTATTGTGGAAAATGTATCATATCAGGGGCGTGGCCTTTGACTTTTTCAGGTATACATGTGTAGACAAGTAGCTATGCCCCAGCAGTTAACAGGCTTCGCATTCCCAAATATGTGTATTCCTGCACAATATCCATGGTCTCCTAGCCTGTGAGCAATTCTAGTTCTGGGTATTTCCACCCTGGTAATCCTAGTCATCCCAGTCATCCTCGTCACCCTAGTCATCCTAGTCATCCTCATCAAGGTGGTCTTCCCAGTCACCCCAGTCATCTCAGTTATCTCAGTCATATTAGTCACCCAAGTCATATTAGTCATCCCAGTTATCCTAGTCTTCCCAGTCATCCAAGTTATCCCGGTCATCCTAGTCATCTCAGTCATCCTTGTCATCCAAGTCATCCCTGTCATCCTAGTCTTCCCAGTCATCCTTGTCATCCTAGTCATCCAAGTCATCCCAGTCATATATAAAATATCAGCAAGTCCACAGCGACAAACCAACGAGTGGTGCTGGATCTCCCAGTTGTAGACCTGGATCAGTACAATAAGAACTTGTAGAAAAATATGAAATGGCAAACTGATCCTTACAGCAAGGCCATGAAGAAGTAAACAAAAAAATAAAACAAAAAATATATGATTAAAAAAATTTGTCCAATATTTCGGTTTGAAAACAAGCATCCCAGTCATCCCTGTCATCCTAATCGTCCCAGTTATCCTTTTCATCCCAGTCATCCTAGTCTTCCCAGTCAACTCAGTCATCCCAGTCATCCCAGTCATCCCTGTCATCCTAGTCATTCCAGTTATCCCAGTCATCCCAGTCATTCCAGTTATCCATGCTTTATTCCACTCCAGCTCGCTATTTCTGCTTGGTTTGAGGACAAAATTTTTCAAAGGAACAGGAAGAGTCAAAGAGTTGTGCTTTCCATTATTGTTATCATTTTTTTGTTATTATACTGTATTGCATTTTTGTTCCTTTGTTTTTATCAGGTACACACGTGTGTCATGCATAAAGGGAGGTATGCCCCTGGTTAGTGGGAAAACAGTTTCATACCCCATTATCCTTCATTAATGGAGTTGTACTGTAACATGGCATGTTTTTTTTACAGGTTGCTTTTGGAATTGATCTTAATGCAATCCACGAACCAGAGTCTCCATTTCCAAGAGCCATAAAAGAGTCTTTAATTGCTCCAATCTGGTGCTTTGCCCATCCATTTCATGCTGTTGAATTCACAACCTACGGCTATCAAAATTCTGTGATAGCTGCGATTCATTTTCTAAGGGACACAGGAAAGAAGATCATTGACGAGAGAAAGAAAGCGATTTTAAATGGTGATGAAGTCCCAACTGATATTCTCTCCTACATTCTGAAGTCAATGGACGAAGATACTGTTTTGGATTATGAAGAACTCCTGGATCACTTTGTAACCTTCTTTATTGCTGGTAAGCTGAGACTATGTTTACCTGAATACGCGGGAAATAAAGAAGCGTCGGGGAAATGTTTTTTTTTTATGGAAATATTTTTAAACTTATTTTGGTCCTCGTCTCTTTGAGAAATGTCCCAGAAACTAGGAACAAGTACAGGATCAAAGAAAAGGCGACGACGGCATTTTGACGCCATTTGTTTTGCTTAGCGATGAACTTGACTGTAAGAGATGTATAGCGAAGCAAACAAAGATAATGAAAATGATTGGGGAGTTGTCAACGATGACAATTCTTCGTATTTGCCGCCACATTGTTAATTATATCCATTCTTGCAAATCATTCTACGTCATTCTTGTCAATTTGGCCGCGCGATAAGGCAGACATTGTTGAAGGAAAATTTGCGTGTTTTGAAGACGGTGACAAGTTCGGCTACTCTACAACTGAGCCACTGCGAGCTACAGCTACGAAACTAGGCTCATTGTGACAAACATCCTGTATACTGTCAGAAATTAGGTAGTCTTTTTTCCTATGTTCTGTGATTGTAGCAGTATAGTTAACTCTTTACTTTGCGCTTTAGTTCTTCGTTCTTGGTTTAAATTTTATTTCGTTTTGTTTTTGGCCATGGTAATCTATGAGAGTGGGTTTGAAACACAGAGATTAAAATTTAAACAAAGGATTGAAGTGGGCCACAGAATATACCTTAAAATTCCGAAAATAAGCCCCGGTGTTTATATTTTTCAAAGGCCCTTTCTGAGGGGCTTATATTTGGAGCGGCGTATCTATGGAGGGAAATTTTCGTTTCAAAATCGATTGGGCTAGCCTTATAGTTGGAAGGAAATTTACCGTTTTGCTTTGTTTTACTTTGTATTTGAGGGCAATTACCAAGTACAAGCCCCCGGGGGGCTTATATTTGGAGGGGCGATTTAACGGAGGGTTTTTTGCGTTACGAGTTTGGGGGGCTTATATTTCGAGGGGCTTATACATGGAGGGGCTTATTTTCCGGAATTTTACGGTATATTACTGAAAGAGAAGCTGAAAGGCGATATTTATTTTTTTTTTCTTCTCACAAACAGGTCAGGAGACAACTTCTGCCATGCTGGCTTTCATGTTAGCAGAGGTTGGAAAACATCCTGAGGTCGAAGAAAGGTAAATTTATTACTTTCAGTTTGAATGTCCTTTTGGAACGAAATTAAACCTTGGCTAAGCGAACATTTCAAATTTAAGTATCATGTATTATGCTGACATCGCCTTGTCTTCGGAGATAGAAGGGACTTTAAGGTCCAACGCAGCGACGGAAACGACACTGAACGAGAACTTAGCTTAAAAAGTGAATTTGCGTTCCTTCCTTTCTTCAGTACACTTACTTTGTCAAATGTAAGCGGACCCTCCTGAAGCTGAATTTCAAGTGACCATATTCAAGCTCAGAAAGAGAAATAAAATTTCGTCGTTGTTTGTTTACGTCCTCCATAAAACGAAAAATTAGGCATTTTCACGTCGTAGTCGTGCAAAAAACAGGGAAGAAATGTACAAAAAAGCGTGATGCACGTGCAAAGTTGTTGTTTTGCTTATTAAACCAGTTGTTGTTTTGACGTTCTCGTTGCCGTCCGCGTCGTTGGATCATAAAATCCCTATTAACAAAGTGGGAAATCGACTCTTGGAAAATCGAAGTAAAATAGGGAATTTTTATTAGCCTAAGAAGACTGCAGTCATTTCGGGACGCCACCTCTAGGACTCACGAAATGCCAACTGAGGAACGAGCGCGGAAATTCTATCCTGATGACAGGTCACTGCCCAGATCTGGGTAGTGCTTCTAATTGGTTGAAGCACATTTTCCTCCCGGCATGACCAATCAGAGGCATTTACCCAGAACTGGGTAGTCACATGTCATCAGTATGGAATTTCTACGCTCGTTCTCCGGACGTCCGGGGTGCGGCGTCGCGAAATGTTGGCCCTTTTCTCAAACTCGTTTTTCTTTGATATTTGGGTTTATTTTTCTGATTTGTTTTGTAGATTAGTTCAGGAGGCTGAAGATGTGCTCGGTGCTCGTCAATTCATCACCTACGAGGATCTTGGCAAGCTAAATTACACAGGTCTTGTGATGAAAGAGACCTTGAGATTACACCCCAGCGTGCCGTCATTTTCTCGTGTCATCAACAAGGATGATGAGTTAGCAGGTCACTTCATTCCTGCTGGTACCCTCATCAATCCGTTACCTTATGTGCTGCATCGCAACCCCAAGTATTGGAATGATCCAGACAAATTTGACCCTGAACGGTTTTCAGCACAGAAGGATGAAGAAGATACAGGATTTCACCGCTATGCTTATTTTCCATTCTCTCTGGGTCCTCGCCATTGCATTGGTCAAATGTTTGCTGAATTTGAAGGCAAGGTGCTGATCGCGCGGTTCGTGAAGTCCTTTAAATTCAAGCTTGTTCCTGGGCAAGATTTTGGATATGAAGATCTCAAGGCCACGTTGTCGCCAAAAGACAGGATTCGTTGCACCCTAACTTTGCGCTAACCAACCGTCAAGCGAGAAGGGAACTGGAACCGAAATGCGTCCCGCAATTGTTTTTGGGATCGTGACTTGGGATAAGCATAAGCTAACAGTCCCAGAAGTCTTTGCGAACGTTAACTCGGCCCAGTTTCTTCTCGTTTCTAACATGGCGAATGAGCTATATTTGGCCTGAAATGTCCACATCCTTGAAGTTAAGTCATTTCGGGCACCTCGCCATACCGGTTTGACACCGGAAATGCGGACAGCAGTCAAATCCTCGGCAAAAATTACAGACCTGACTGTGATTGAAGCATCCTTTCGCTATTTCGCACATAAGGAAATCTTTTCTGTCTCTAGACACATTTTTATTGTTCGACCTCTATAACCGACATCGAGATATCTCTCAATAAAATAAAAATCTCACCCTTTTCCTGTGGTGTATTAACCGAAACTGATGTAATTTATAGATTCCTGCTTCTCTTCTAATCCAGACGTTTTTAATATAAGTACCGTTAATCCTTTTCCCACTTCGCTATTTCGGCTGTAATGAGTTGCTGTGCACATGGAATGATGGTAAGTAGGATTTTTGGACTTGTTAAAGCAACCTGGATAATGCTTTCCCAAATATATTCTTCCAATTAAATATTTAACAGAGGCTATCATTTTTTTAATTCTGTGGTGTAAAATAAAGCAGCATCAAAGAAACCTGTGTCACGATTTTTTACTTTAATATTCTACACACTTGGAGATAAAAAGTAATAGTTTTTTACCTTTGCGTTCGGCCCTCAAACGCTACGATGGAAATGGATTGCAACTTTGCAAATGCATGGCTTAAGGACGGCTTTTTTTGGTATCATACTTGTTTTACGCGAAGTGTTTTGTAATGCTGCAATGTGCCACTATGACGTCATTATTGTGCTGTCACCAGTCTCTCTCTCCACATGGATCTGAAGGCAACCGATAATTTTGTGGTTTTTTTGCCCACTATAACGTCCTTCTTTGTTTCTTTGGTATGACAAATCTCCGTTTCGACCCTACGTGAATATGGCTAATTAGTTTAGTCAAAAGCAAAAATTCATGTAACTAGCTTGATTGGCAAATTTAAATGAAAATCTTATTCCCTAATAGCAAACCCATAACTATAACTTAAGCCAATCCTTCTCTTTTAATAATTTTCCAGTTTCCTCGACCTTTCGGTAAATTAAAGCTCTTCCCACAGATTAAGGTTTCAAGGATTTCGGCGCTAGCTTACCTCAGGGTGTTACCTCAAATGAAAAAACGACCTGTTTTCTTTGGCAGCTTAATACTTTTACAGGGAAATGGATATCTTTATTTATAGTTTTGAGCCCTTATTTAACTTTGACCGGAGGTACGAACGTCAAAACTTAAAAATTTCCCCTTATAGACGGTTTTCACAAAAAAGAGGGAAAATCATGGTCATAAGTATAAATAGGCCTGCCGGTACTTCCAAACCGACTTATAAAATAATAAAACTGACCAAAATAGCATACGAAATCAAAATACGTTTTCGTTTAAACCCTTACTTTTAAAAAAATTATGAAAAACTATTCATGTTTTTTTGTCAACTCAATTTTTTTTTTGGCCTTACAACCTGCTGGATGAGATTGGTAATCCATTCCGTTCCGTTGTTCCGTTTTCCATCTGCCAATCTTCCAAAATTATGAGAACTGTGCAGGATGCCCAGGTAAATGAGAAAGCAACATGATTTTAGCCATTGTGAGACAATTTTTTTAAAGAACGTCTTTTATAATTATCTTTTAGGTGACTCCAGATTATCACATAGTTTGCATGAACAGACAAGAAAAAACAGTAGATGGCTTCGCGCCCACGTTGTCTTGTCTGGCGCGGTATTAGATACTGTATGTAAACAAATATCGAGCCCATTCATGTGACATTGCACGTATCAGATCACTCAATGTTATGTTTGGCTCAGAGTACGGATAGAAAACGCCGGTTCAGGCCACGTTATGTTTGTGCTGTGAGTCAGAAACTCAACTTTCGTTCCTCGTGAATTGTAATTGACTCATCCAAGCAAGTTTTCACTCTTAACTCACGGACATAATTTGTGGAAGGAAAAGGTACGTTACTACAGAGACTAAAACTAAGCTTACAGCTTACTCGTTTCAGCTGGTTGAAGCTTATTCTTTTTGTGGTCTGTATGCATGTTCTATGTTCTATCGCTTGGTTTAAATTTGTAAGCGAAAGGATTGCTTTATCTCAAATAGAAATTACGTTCGCTCTCTCCGTGACTTGCAGCTGTGTTACAACGCCCGGTAATAATGTACATGATGATGTACATGTTTTGAAGAACATGGCGAACTTATCAGCGTTAGGTTGTCGAATCATCGATCTTTTTATTGTGCGTTCATCTGAATGAGGTCAGCTGACCACAACAGTGAAAATAGGCCATGATGAGATATAAAGAAACTGAAAATCAGAGTTGTAGTGTATATCATTGTAATTCTCAACGATTACCAAAAGCCTATCTCAACATCCCCCATATACATGATATAAGACCACCAAAGCAATCGGATTTAATGTTAATGGCATAATTTTTAGAGCGGAACCCTCTACTAGCTAAAGTTTGGCTGATTTTACATAAAAGCTGATGTGCTTAACAAAGAAAAATGCTACCATTAACCTAAGTTATATAATTTTAGGTGACCTTTTCCCTGATTTTAATGAAGATGTTCATCAAAACAAAAACAGAACACTCTTTTGAATACACGTGTTACGTACGCGTGTTACGTATTAAGCTGGCACTAAATTACAGTGCAGTCGGTTTTACTTTTTTAATATACATCGTTATCGGTTAAAGGATATGTTTTCGGGATAAACACAAAAAAATAGGTCCACACGTTGTGCCTTTGTGTTAAAGCTTCGGTTTCTTTCAAGTCAAAACCATATCGATTGCTCGTATACCCAGCCAAAGTCCGGCGGAGGTTGAGAGTTCATCTAATTTGCGCTCCCGCTGTTTAAATTTAGCCTGTTTTACACGTGAAGTAGTGTTACTGGAGTGCTAACCTGTCATGGAGATTAAAATCTCCTTGGATACATTTCATTTTCAAAACACCTTTGAAGTATCAATTTCGTGTGTTCAGCTGACCAATTGTCAAAAAATAAACAAACAGATTTAGGAGTTTACATTCCATGCTGAAACGTGTTCATAAGTGTTTTTGTGCAGAATCACGATGGCTCGAGTAGTTTCTGGCACAATATTCTTATTTTTGCTACATACATAAGTAAATAAGTACTAAATAAATAAGTACTCAGTACAGAGTGAAGTATTTGTAATATATGTGTAAGATCAATTATTGTATCTCTGTCCGTTAATTATAATCTATTTCACTGATACCATTTCAATGAATTTCAATAGATCTTTTGTTACCTTCAGGGAGACTACTTGTAAAAGCCCGTAAGGGTTTCTTTAGTCTTCCTCCCAAATTCATTACATTGTAACACACTGTATGTACTGTATAATATTATGGGAAATAATAAACTCAAACTCAAACTCAATACATACATACACTGACCCCAATCCAAATCGAGGTCGGATATGCTATTTTTGAAATTTCTTGTGGGATCAAGTACTCTCAGATAATTTTTTAAAGAGAGGTTTGTTTTTTTAATCACTGTGGAGGAGTACAAAAAAGCACTTTGATATTTTATTATAGTGCTGTATGTTTGACAAACTTGAGATGAAATGTTTTTAAAGCAAATATAATGTGATTATGCAGCCCACAGGTGTATGTCACCCTTTACTCAAATTTCCTTCCCACTCTCCCCCCCAGGGGGTACTCCGGATTTCAAGTGATGGAGATAACCAAACGATTTTTTGGGGGGAGGGGGTTGAAATTTTTTATGTGTATTTCACAATTTGGGGGGGTTGGAAATTTTAACAAGAAGATTTTTGCTTGTGTAATTTAGGCAGGGAATCTGTAGATTCGTGGTAGTGCCCGTGTAGCCCCACCTAGCTGCGTAGTTTTGCGAATAAAGTACAACCAAACTGGGTTTTAAAAACTTTATTTTTCTTGTCGTATCATTTAATGCTTTCTGAAAGTTTTTAAGGCCCAGAAATTCGGCATGAGATTTTTTGGGGGTTAATTTTTGTTGGGGGGAATTTTTTGGGTGTAAATTTTTGCCCCCATTCAATTATCCCAGTCACTTGAAATCCAGAGTATTCCCTGGGACTCTCCCTCATGTCAAGTAGAAAAAAACTGGGGGGACCAAAACTGCAGTCTATAAATTGCCTACCTCCAAGCGGGGGAAGGGGTACTCCCTATAATGACCTATATGGGGAGGCCGCGCCCACCCAAATGGGGTACTTTTTTCACGGGTTGAAGTATTTGAAAGGGCAAGGAAATCTTTCATTTCAGTCGTTGAAATGCCATAAAAGGCCAACAGATGTATCTTGCAATGGCTGTAAAAAAGACATGAGAACTCTGCCTGGTTTATTCCTGTTTTTAATATGTAAATGATGGTGCATTTTAATTTAACAGCTGTTAAAAGGGATTCAATTTCTGGCAAGCAATGCTTTGTGTTTGGCAACCAGTTTATCTTTGTAGGCTGCCAAAATGGGGATTTTGAAAAAAGTTGGGTGTTCATAAATCATTCTCTAGCTCATATTTTTCAATCTCAACAGGATATGTTCTTCATTAGTGATACTACCATAATGTCTACAATGAAAAAGGGTACCGCCATGGAAGGAGTGCAGATCCGTTCCTATAACCAGGCAACAGATTACCACGAATGCCGAGAGATATTTACAGAGGGCATGCAACAGCTCATCAATCTTGTTAACCGTGTTGTTTTTCCAAGATACTTGTGGTATGTTGCCATAACAACCATTTTTGCCATATTGGCATCTATGAAGTGGTCCGTGTGGATCTTAATTCTCAGCCTGTCAATTTCACTAGTGCTGATAGCACTTTTGTACGTGGATATTTACTATGAGTGCTGGAAGTTCATCAAGTACTGCCTAAGAACAGATTTGGCTGACATCGACAAGACATACATGTGTAATGATGGCTGCCACATGTGGGTAGCTGAATTAAATGGCAAAGTTGTTGGGATGGTGGGACTAATTGTTGATGAAAAACAAAAGCCAGGAGTTGCCGAGTTGCAGAGGATGTCTGTGTCAGGGACGTGTCGGAAAATGGGAGTTGGAAGGAAGCTGCTGGAACAGGTTCTTAGACATGCTGAGCAGTGCAAACTTTCAAAAATTGTCTTGTCGACCACGAGTGCACAATTACCAGCGATTGGACTGTATAAGAAATATGGCTTCAAATTGGCCGGGGTGTATCCATATCCTCAGAAGATCTTAGGAGATTTGGAGTACTGGTTGTTTGATCGTCAACTGTGATTCAACTCTGGCCAGAACAACTTGATTCTGACTTGTGGACTGTAGAGTCCTTCATGTGGCTTTAATTCAAAACAACAAAAGCAACTACTGGTTAATTTGTTTGACGAAAACAACAAAAAACTCTCCCATAATAGCCTGAGCCAAGGTGGGGGGACCAGTCCTATATGAAAGTGACTGGGTCATGCAGTCATTATCTTGTATAGGGGTACAGTCGACTCCCAGTAATTTGAACCCTCTATAACTCGAACCTCCCATTAACTCAAAGTAATTTTCAATTCCCCTAAGATCATTTTCCATATAATACTACCCTCAATATCTCGAACTCCAAATAACTTGAACTTTTTTCTATTTCCCTTGAAGGTTCGAATTATCAGGAGTCAACTGTATTTGCAGGTTTTGGTCTCACTTAGGGTGTTACAGGATAAAAGACCAATATTAAAAATATAATAAAAGCATCAGTTAGAATTTTTAGTAAAGCAGTATCTACATAGCATAAATCCTCTGTTAAACTCCTATCCTCTCAAATAATCCCCCCATTTCAGGGGAAGAAAGTTATTAAGCCCCCTCCCCTCCCCCATTAAATGATAGACTTATCAATCGTGAGTGTAACACTTCTTGTGGAGGGATTCTGTATGGTATATTCATGTGCGGGAAGTTAAGATTTATTTTTTATCTTCAGCTGCATGACCTCCAACTTCATGTACCTGAGCTTTTCCACTTTGGAGATTTGATATAATCATCTTAACACAATTAAATACCCCCTCCCCCTGTCAGATAAGCTCCCTCTCTATTTACTCCCCATTCAAACCTGATTGGAATAAATTTATTGTTCTTACCCCCCCCCCCCCCCCCCCCCCCCAGGGGG